GTGGGAGTTAAAACTCCGTCTCACAGAAGACTCTGCCAGACGTTCCCAGCAAACCCTCACAATACGTTTGGGTCTGCCAGGTCTGACCGGCATCCTCCCCCACCATCGGAGCCAACTCACCACCAGGTAGTGATCAGTGGACAGCTCCACCCCTCTCTTCACCCGAGTGTCCAAGACATGTGGCCGCAGATCAGTTGAGACAATGACAAAGTCGATCATCGAACTGCGGCCTAGGGTGTCCTGGTGCCAAGAGCACATATGGACACCCTTATGCTTGAACATGGTATTCGTTATGGACAATCCATGACGAGCACAGAAGTCCAACAACAGAACACCACTCGGGTTCAGATTAGGGGGAGCCGTTCCTCCCAACCACACCCTTCCAGGTCTCACTGTCATTGCCCACGTGAGCATTGAAGTCCCCCAGCAGAACAAGGGAGTCCTCAGGAGGTGCACTTTCCAGTACCCCCTCCAAGGACTCCAAAAAGGTTGGATAATCTGAACTGCCGTTTGGTGCATAAGCACAAACGACAGTCAGAACCCGTCCCCCCACACGTAGGTGGAGGAAGGCCACCCTCTCATTCACCGGGGTGAACCCCAACACACAGGCACCAAGTTGGGGGGCAATAAGTATGCCCACTCCTGTTCGGTACCTCTCACCAGGGGCAACTCCAGAGTGGAAGAGTGTCCAGCCCCTCTCATATACATATACACACACATATATATATATACATAAATGTGATGTGTATGTATAAAATAGATTATTGTGCATATATATATGAGATATGTCTGTGTGTATATATATATATATATATATATATATATACAGGTCCTTCTCAAAAAATTAGCATATTGTGATAAAGGTCATTATTTTCCATAATGTAATGATAAAAATGAAACTTTCATATATTTCAGATTCATTGCACACCAACTGAAATATTTCAGGTCTTTAATTGTTTTAATACTGATGATTATGGCATACAGCTCATGAAAACCCAAAATGCCTGTCCCAAAAAATTAGCATATCATGAAAAGGTTCTCTAAACAAGCTATTAACCTAACCATCTGAATCAACGACGTAACTCTAAACACCTGCAAAAGATTCCTGAGGCTTTTAAAAACTCCCAGCCTTGTTCATTACTCAAAACCACAATCATGGGTAAGACTGCCGACCTGACTGCTGTCCAGAAGGCCATCATTGACACCCTCAAGCAAGAGGGTAAGACACAGAAAGAAATTGCTGAACGAATAGGCTGTTCCCAGAGTGCTGTATCAAGGCACCTCAGTGGGAAGTCTGTGGGAAGGGAAAAGTGTGGCAGAAAACGCTGCACAACGAGAAGAGGTGACCGGACCCTGAGGAGGATTGTGGAGAAGGGCCGATTCCAGACCTTGGGGGACCTGCGGAAGCAGTGGACTGAGTCTGGAGTAGAAACATCCAGAGCCACCGTGCACAGGCGTGTGCAGGAAATGGGCTACAGGTGCCGCATTCCCCAGGTCAAGCCACTCTTGAACAAGAGACTGCGTCAGAAGCATCTCGCCTGGGACTGCTGCTGAGTGGTCCAAAGTTATGTTCTCTGATTACAGTAAATTTTGCATTTCCTTTGGAAATCAAGATCCCAGAGTCTCGAGGAAGAGAGGAGACACAGAATTCACATTGCTTGAGGTCCAGTGTCAAGTTTCCACAGTCACTGGGGTGCCATGTCATCTGCTGGTGTTGGTCCACTGTGTTTTATCAAGGGCAGGGTCAATGCAGCAGCTATCAGGAGATTTTGGAGCACTTCATGCTTCCATCTGCTGAAAAGCTTTATGGAGATGAAGATTTCATTTTTCAGCACGACCTGGCACCTGCTCACAGTGCCAAAACCACTGGTAAATGGTTTACTGACCATGGTATTACTGTGCTCAATTGGCCTGCCTACTCTCCTGACCTGAACCCCATAGAGAACCTGTGGGATATTGTGAAGAGAAAGTTGAGAGACGCAAGACCCAACACTCTGGATGAGCTTAAGGCTGCTATGGAAGCATCCTGGGCCTCCATAACACCTCAGCAGTGCCACAGGCTGATTGCCTCCATGCCACGCCGCATTGAAGCAGTCATTCATGCAAAATGATTCCCGACCAAGTATTGAGTGCATAACTGAACATGATTATTTTAAGGTTGGCGTTTTTTGTATTAAAAACACTTGTCTTTCATTGGTGGGATGAAATATGCTAATTTTTTGGGACAGGCATTTTGAGTTTTCATGAGCTGTATGCCATAATCATCAGTATTAAAACAATTAAAGACCTGAAATATTTCAGTTGGTGTGCAATGAATCTGAAATATATGAAAGTTTCATTTTTAGCATTACATTATGGAAAATAATGACATTTATCACATTATGCTAATTTTTTGAGAAGGACCTGTATATATATGTCATGGTTTGAGGTTAGGAGCGAACCCAGAGTGCAGAACAGGGACTCAACTCGGCAGATATACAAAAAATAAGATTTTAATGGTAAATAAAAGTACAAAATAAACAAGCTGACGGGGCAGCAAAACTTACATGAATTAGGCACGGGGAACTCAGGAGGCACGAGAGACATGGGGAACTCGAGGGACCAGGAAGACTCAGGAGACCCAAGGAAAGTAACCAACGAAGACGACCCGACGAAGAACAAGACAGAATAGGACAGCTTAAATACAGGGAGAAGACGAGACATGATGACAAACAGCTGGGACGAGACACAGGTGGCATCAGTGGAAACTAATGAGGAAGCACGAGGGAAACAGACAAACCGGGCCACAGAAAAGTACCATCCTTACAATATATATATATATATATATATATATATATATATCTTAATGAAAAAGTATCAGTGACTGTGAGTTTTGCAAAACTTGTCATAAGAATATTTTATTAGTGTTAATGTTAACCTCACCAAGAATATTTAAAAACACTGAACCATGTGTTCAGCTTTAATGGCTGTACTCCTAAAATTTACAGAAGAAAAAATCGTGAGAATGAGTTTAGTATTCAGCTCTGACTGATTAAACGCGCAGATACTTCATTGCTCCGTCAAACAGGTTACACTGAGTGGAGCGGTCGACCGTTCCAAGATGGCGGCCCTACAGCTCGTCATAGCGGTCAATGCTGTATCCAGTGATTATATCTATGCCTTACACATTGGTTGGTACCAGAGCCCTATAAAGAGATTAAATTACTTTAACACCATAACCTTCACAAAGTTTGTATTTACTGCAGGACTGTTAATTTACATTTGTTTTATATCATTAGTTTAGCGTTTGGTAATCATGGGTCAAGTTGAGATGAGACTTTTTCAAGACAGAACAAGAAATAAGAATTATTACCAAGAATATATCAGCATCAATAAACTGTAGGATAGTAACAAAAAAAAATTATAAAAAACTATCACAGGTACATTGAGATGGAGCTGGAAGTTATTCTTCATGCCAGTTGTCTTCATCTGATCTTTTGTAAAAATATGTCAAAATTTATTTTCCATTAACATTTTTCTTCGCAGGACTGAGTTAATTTTCTTGTCGGTGAGTTTCTTCTGTCCTGCTTATGTATTTTTTTTGTGTTCTAATTGTTCCTCAGGTTTTTCATCTCTGTTCCCTGACTGCCTGTTGATCCATCCTCCTGGTCCTGTTGATCCTGGATCATCAGATCCTGACATGTCCCCATCCTCTGAGGACACATTTTCATCTTTCCCTCATCTCACTCGCCTCATTTCTGTTTCTTCCTCAGTCTCTGAAATTACAACGTCACCTTTAGAATGATTATTGTTCAATAAAAAATATGACATGTCTTATTGTAACACTGTTCGTACCAAAGTTTAATTTAGAACAACATGTGTGATCACTGGTCAGATCACTGGTCAGGTCACTGGTCAGATCACTGGTCAGTGGAAGTTCTGCTGTTCTTCTCATCTGGTTCTGGTCCATGAACAAATGGATGAACCTCCTTCAGTCTCACACGTCCTCACTGTGTCTCTGTGAACTGTCCTCTCTCTAAATGTGCCTGTAGAGTGACATTAGTTTATTTTATTGCACATTTCTTTGACAGTTAAACATTTTGAGCCCTGATTGAAAATGTTTGTGCAGATTAAATTTACAGCTCTCACTTTGTGTTGTTGTGATGATGATGATGGTGCTCCTGCTGACTTGAGATGATGTCATTAATAAACAGTATAAATAGTATTATAAATACTTTATTAAAGCTTGTTTTACATTTTACATATTTTATAATAAATTGTTTGGAAATTTATTTTTGCACAGTTAACACTTATTTTGTCATCTATTGATTTTAAATAGAAACAGTATCATTTAAATTAACATTTTAATCAATGAATTACAATAGTTGTCAGGCTACAATCAACAGTTATCAGGTACTTGGTTGCCATAAAAAAAATTACAAATACAACAATTATATTCAGTCTCTCTTGTAAATGAGTCCTCGTGGCTCAATGAGACGAACCTGTTTAAATAAAGGTTGAATTAATATCTTCTATAGAAATCAAGAATTCATCCAGATGATCTAAGGTAAGCTGGAGCAGATCTGAAGTGCTGCATGGAGGACAAGGTGGAGAAAGGACTCTGGTTTGTACCGTTTTACGTTTTTTTTTTGTTGTTTTTTTTTGCGTTAGCGTGACGAGCAAGGGGCGTCATTTTGACGTAACATCCGTCCAGCTTGGCCTGTATGGACCTGTGAGTTTCCTGAGAGCTGATTGGTTCAGAGTTGAAGAAGCCCCGCCCTATTTCTCACTAGTTTCCGTTCTTTCTCAAATGACAGTGTGGATTAAACCAAGTTTGACCAGGGGGGTGAGTGTTGCTTTTACTTTTAATTTTATAGAGTAAGGGAAATAATCCGAGTAATATTATATATATTTACTTCATACTATATGCTTTATGTTGTATAAAGTCGGTCTTATATAAACTTTCTGTCCTCTACGAGCCAGTTTGGACCGACCCAACTTTATCTGGCCCCTCTGTTCTGTAACTCCCTGAAAAAAAAAATGATGTAACTTTTATTAACCGGCTTTTTTCCGACCTGCTGAAATTTATTCAACCCGAGAAGAACATTTTCCAACATTCACTGTCGGTTCGATTCGGCCCGGTTAGTTAGAGCCAGGGCTCTGGAACAAACACTAAATATGAATTCAGCTCGTCGATGTTCGCTTTTGTTCGGCCAGATGTGCGTTTGTTCGCGCGCGGGACAGACTGTCCGGACACCGTGTTCACCGGCAAAGGCAGGTTCGGGCCCAGCGGCAGCTCGGTCCAGTCACACCGGTACCGGAGGAGGAAGATTTGGGAAAGGTCGCCAGCTAAAACCCGGCGGAGCTCAAGGTACCGTTCAGTTTGTTCTGGAAAGATTCGGTTTGGGAGTTTTCGGTTCTGCTCGTGACTCATCAGCTGATGTTCAGTGTTTAATCATTGGGATTAATTTTAACGACTTGTTCCTTTTTTATTTAATCTTCTGAGCTCGAGTTTAAAAACGAACCCGGTACAAGCTGCAGGTTTGACTCTGCAGATGTTGGATCAGTCTCGTAGTAGTTTAAACATTTCTGTAACTCGTTCCTTTAAAGCGCCCAGATGTTGCTCTCTGTGAGCAGATCTGGAAATCTACTGAACCAAAAACAAACACGTGTTTCTGCTCCCATGTTTCATGAACTGAACTCAAAGATCTCAGACTTCATGCTCACTAAACTTCTTTATCTCAACTAATCTGTGTTAGTGAGCACTTCTCCTTTGCTGAGATCATCCATCCACCTCACAGCTGTGGCAGATCCAGATGTTGATTAGACGGCCTGATTATTGTACAGGTGAGCTGACCACAATAAAAGGCCACTCTAAAATGTGCAGCACAATGACGCATGTCAAAGGTCTTCAGGGAGCAGCACACATGCTGACTGCAGGGATGCTCGTGTTCAGAGAGTGTGGCAGTACATCCAACCGGCTTCACAACCCCAGACCTCCTGTAACCACACCAGTCCAGGACCTCCACATCCAACATCTTCACCTCTAAGATCTTCTGAGAGCAGCCACCTGGACATCTGCTGCTCGTCATCCTCACCAGGGTCTCCACCTGACTGCACTTCTTCATCGTAATCGACTTGAGTGGACAAATGCTCACATTCTATGGCGTTGGCAGACTGATTGTACGGTGTGTAGGTGGGCCGGCTCGTCTTCTCACCAGCAGAGTTACACAAACGTGTGAACAACATCTGAGAGATGAAGAGCTTTGGTGTGCACAGAGAAACTCTCAGATGTTTGCTCATGAACAATGGGAGCAAAAACAAAAGTGTTTCTGTTTTTGTTCAGTGAACCTGCTCCTAACAAGGAATGTGGAGACGGACCAGTATGCACACACACACACACACACACAGACACAGATCGAGCGTTTCATATTCATGGTTTGACCAGCATGTCTCCACGCCTGTCACGTCCCACCATCAGATGACTTTAAAACTCTGACATGAAGCGTGGTGGGAGGTGTGAGCTTGAGGCTCGACTCGTCTTCAGGCGGTGATGGTTGCAGACCATCCTCTGGATGTGGGTAGTCCTCCTGGAAGCCTCAGGAGGTCAGCGGTTCTGTGGACAGCTCTGGTTCTGTTTGCTGTCACATGCTCGGGACAGTCCCTCTTTCAGTGTGGATCCCGTGCCGCTGAATTTCAGCGAAGTCAGCTGTGTGTCATGTGACCGAGCCGCCTCCTTGGTCCTGCTCCACAGCTCCATGGAGTTAGTGTGAGCTCCCACTTGGTGTGGACAGGACCCTAGAGGACCACGGGGACCAGACTAGAGGACCACAGGGACCGGACTAGA